TTTTTTTTTTTTTTGAGACAGCGTCTCACTCTGTTGCTTGGGCTAGAGTGCCGTGGCATCAGCCTAGCTCACAGCAACCTCAAGCTCCTGGGCTCAAGCGATCCTCCTGCCTCAGCCTCCTGAGTAGCTGGGACTACAGGCATGAGCCACCATGCCTGGCTAATTTTTTCTATCTATTTTTAGTTGGCCAATTAATTTCTTTCTATTTTTAGTAGAGACAGGGTGTAGCTCTTGCTCAGGCTGGTCTCAAACTCCTGACCTTGAGCGATGCTCTCGCCTTGGCCTCCCATAGTGCTGGGATGACAGGTGTGAGCCGCCGTGCCCGGCCTAGTATCTTACTGACCATAATTCTAGCAAATTCTAGGAAGCTGCTCTACAGTTTTGCAAAGTGTAGAATAGGTTCACCTCTCGGGTTCAGACAGGGCTGAGCTAACCGCGTAGTCAGGCGTCCTTAAACTACAGCCTGAGGGCCACATGAGGGTGTTTTTGCCCGTTTGGTTTTTTTACTTCAAAATAAGATATGTGCAGTGTGCATAGGAATTTGTTCATGGTTTTTTTTAAACTATAGTCCGGCCCTCCAACAGTCTGAGGGACAGTGAACTGGCCCCCTGTTTAAAAAGTTTGAGGACCCCTGGTGTAGATTCTGGAACAGAAAACTGGAAACTCTTTGCGTGGGACTGTGACATCTGACCCAGCTTGGCTGAAGTTTGGTCCTTGAAGGACCTCCCACTCTGATCTGGTAGATTCATGTCCCCCTTGAGCATGTGACGGAGCCATCTGTAAATCTTGTGGCCAATCAGACAACCCCAGCGTAGCCAGACAAGCAGGTAAGAAAAGGGGTCTCTCTTTGACGTCCCGTCTTTAGATATTCAGAAACATTGCCATGTGTCGGTGCCTCCTCATCAAGGATGCCATTCATGGGAACAAGTGAGTTTTGTTGACATTGCAGTTTGTCTCTTCCCTGGGTGTTCAGTGGGAGACAGAGTGTAACAAATGTGAAGCGATGCAAACCGCGACGTGTGGCAGATTTGTGTTGCATCCCGGAGTTGCAGGTAAACAGATGCCTGCGGGATGTGTGGGGACACCCCTCTCTTGCTCGGGGATGAGTGACCACGTGTGCCTCACTGGGATGCGGATCCCTCCTGTATTGCTGCCGTAGTGAGCTCGCGGTCTTCCCCATCCATTCTGTGACACCCTCACGTCCAAGTTCACTCACTGATGTCTGATTTGGTTTGGGTGTTTGCCCCCTTTTGCCCCCAGCAAAGAGGTCACAAAGGAAGACAGGTGTGGCGAGGGTGATGTGTCCCATGCAGGTACCTGTGCTGAGCCAGGAAGGAGGCAACACACTCTTAACCGCCACCCATAGTGGCTGCATGAACGTTATGTTATTCCATCCTCCATCAACCACGTGTGGCTCGAAAGGCATCAGGGACTCATCGCCCTTGTCCCCAGAGAGGAAGTCGTTTCCAGAAGGGGCAAAGACTTGCCCAGGACCATATGGCTCATAAGTCACACCTGGAGTTTGATTTTGTTTTGTTGACCCAAGACCCTGTAGAGCTGGCCCATGTATTCCTTCCTTTGTTCATTCATTCAACGTTTCTTAAACACCCAGTGTGGACCAGACACTGGAGTTTCATTGGAGACAGAGTGCTTGCCTTCAGGGGGCTCAGAGCTTAGTGGGGGGTGGGGATGAGCAGGTAAACCACAGTTTCCCCAACTACAGGTCAAAAACTGGTAGTCTGCAGACCAGTTTTATTACACTGATGTGTTGTTGTTTTTAGAATCTTGAATCTTTTGGAGAATAGATTAGACCAAAAACCCCAGCTGTTCTCATGGTAAATTGGAAGATCTAGCAACATTGTTCTCAGATTCCTTTGTGTCACTGGTCGCTAGAAAATAGCTAACCACAGTGGCAGCTTTTCCTTTGCCCACTTGCCAGTCTCTGCCACCCCCTGTGTGGCCCTGGTGGGTGGCGGAGTTTGCATTCCCCTGGGTTGCGGCGGTGCTTAAAGGAAAACAGTGTGCTCTGCAAGGCACTCTGACCGCAGCCAGGGTGGGGTGGGAAGGAAAGGCAGTCCGGGAGGACTTCTTGGAGGAGAGGGTATTTGGGCTGTGATTTTTACAGAATAAAGAAAAAAAAAGACAAGTGCTCCAGATAGAGGCTACTGTGTAGGAGTTGATCTGGAAGCACTGGATCATGGCACATCCAGTATTGCTCCATCAAACTGCCCTTTGTGCAAAGAAAACTCTGTTTTTATGGGTAAAATCAGATTCTTTTCTAGAAGGTTCTGCATGTATAGAGGCACTGGATCTGTCCTAGTTGCTCAGTGTCCTCTTGTGCTAAGGGAGAGAATGAGAATTTTAAAAAAAACAGGTTTACATAAAACTTTTCTCAAGTCTGGAGAAATCTGAGTTTCCAAGTCGTAACTTTTGGTGGCCTTGTGTGATCACCTTGATCTTTTCTGCAAACAGACCCTTCCCTGGACCACAGGTGTCCTGGGCACTATTTTTTCTTTTAAGACTAGTGACTGTGCCATTCTTCTCTTTCTGGAACCTGTATCTGTGGCTCCAGTTCAAGAATTGTTATTTTTTTTTAATCATTAGGAATAATTTTTACGGTTCAGCTCTTCAAATCCTGACAACGTGTCGAGCCAGCGGGGAGAGCACGGGCACATTTCGTGATGCCCGAATGCGGCATGGTGACACCGTGGCATTAAACGGTCTTGCTCTGAGCCGCTAAAAGCACTGGGGGTGGGGAGCCTTTTGAGGTCCCCAGCTGTTCCTGGAGGTGGCCACATTTTTGTTTTTGTTTTTCTTTCTCTGTGCAACTGTGTACAGGAGATCTGGGTCACATTGGCGGCTAATGCTGCAGACGCCAGGCAACTTTTTGCTCAATAACTGTTTCCCAAATGGCTACTCCGGGGCCTTTCAGAATTCAGGAGAGCTGTCCGTTGTTATAGTAACCGGCCCCCTGCTGTCGAGTTGGCCCTGACATGCCGGTGGAAGCTCTTGGAACAAGCTCACACAGAGTCATCAGACAAAAGCGGGGAGAGAGATTCATTGCTAAAGATTGTCATTTAAACATGCTCCATGGCACTTAAAAGGCTGGACCGATTCTGTCGGGGGAAGTGGTGGGTGGGTCAATTTTTAAACCAAGCTCACTTTTCAGGAAAGGGAAACTCCTTCTATGCTCAAGTCTATTCTGGGGAACAGCCACCTTCCTTTGGAAATTCTCAGAATTAACTGCATTCTCCCCCCAGGGTTGCTTGTGTCTGCTGCTTTGCTCGGGGAGCCCCCTCGATTAGTCGAGATATTAGTTATCGATCGTGTGGCATTTGCTTCTCAGCTGAGTGTTGTCAGTTTACGGGTGGTGGTTTTAAGCATCCGTGATTGTGTGTGAGGAAAAACTGCGGAGATACCCGGCTCGGCTCCAAAATTCCCGAAAGAGTGAATCTGGCAGTATTCAAGAGTAGGGCTAAGGGTTGAGAAAAAGTCTAAATATTTTAGGAAGCTGCAAATTTCAAGTTTTTATGAACATCGGTAAAAACATTCCAACACACTCGTGATTTCTTCAGATTAATGTTCATAGCCACGCCGAGCACAGCCGTGACGTCGGGAGGACGGTTGCTGTAGTTGCAGACTGTCCTCGTTAGAGGGAGACAAGAAGTTCCGAATCACAGCCATCTCTCTCCCCTTTGTCATCGTTATTTCCAAGTTTTGGCTTCCCCAAATTTGTGCTTCCAGTGCCAAGCCCTTTTGCCCAATGTGAAGTCTAATAATTATCAAAATAAATGAAAGCTTGTACGGAGGGTGCAGAAAAACCTAACAAACACTCAAGAATTAGCAGGCGTCCTCAAACTACAGCCCGCCGGCCACATGCGGCCCGCTGGGTGTTTTTGCTGCCGCTGCCTGTCCTGCTTAGCAGCCGACTCGTCCCGGGCCCACAGTGCGCACTCTCCAACGGTCTGAGGGACAGTGTGCTGGCCCCCTGTTTACAAAGTCTGAGGACCCCTGAATTAGAGAATGTTCATTTCTAGAAGCAGAAGACTATCATGTGACTCACAGATTAACAAAATATTAACTTCTTTGGAATTCCGCACTTGACTTCAGAGTTCTGTGTGGGATTCAACAGAGCTTCTAAGAAAGAGGACATCCCTGTATCTGAGTTTTGTCATTGCTCTTCTGTCAAGAGAGTTTGCAAAGAGCAGGAATCATTACAGTGTGAAATCCTACAGCCCAGGTGGTTTGGGGTGATTAAATATAATTAAACAGATATTTTCCAGTGTTACTGTGTGACAAAAGTGTATCTTGCAAATTCTGTGGCCAAGTCTCAGAATGTAAGAGAGATGTTACGGCTATTTCAGTTTTAAGGGGAAACTGGCGATAGGACTCAAGCTATAGAAATAACTTGCCAGTTGCTATTCCCTTCTCCCTGAAGTGCCTCTCCTGTGTGTTCTACAAATCTGTGTTGCGAATCGGGAAAGTGTCTGTCCAGAGCTGAGAGGAATGCGTGGGGAAAAGGCAGAACCCCAGATTTGTCTAATGGCACCAAATTCTGAGAAACTGGTGGCAGAAGGGAGGTCCAAATGGTCCCTGGTAGATTTCTGCCAAGTACTGTTATTCCCATGGTATCTGAAGCCACCCCGTTTGCCAGGGCAGCGTGTCAAAGGCGGAAGAGTGGGTACAGGAACGAGAAAGGTCGCGATTGTGCTTGTGATGTCCTTACCTTCTGTTAACGCCCTGGGTAATACAGGCTTCCAACATGTAAATTCGTTTGTAAGAGCAAACTTCCCGTTTGGTGTTTCTTGCAGCCCCACGTAAAAGCCGTTCATACAATCAGCCACTGTGGTGCCTAAGCATCCTCTTTGGAAAATGTCCCAAACGAGTCCTGCCGCTGGGTCTGTTGTCAGAAGGAGGGAGGGCATGTGTGGGGAACTCTTGGTGGCCGTGTGACAATACTGTCTTCTACACCTGTTCTCTTTTGTTTTTTGTCCATTCAGAGGGTGTAACAAAATAAAGTCCAAGGGCTTTCCCAGACGTTTCCGCGAAGTGCCTTCTTCTGGGGAGACAGGAGAGAAGGGGAGCAGGTGAGGGGCGGTCAAGCTTAAGGGGGGGTCTTGACGCCCGGGACTGGCTTGCCGAATTTTTGTTTTGTTGCCATGGGGATTCGAGTCTTCCAGAGAGCACAATGCTGACCACCCACGTGCTCTACCCCAACTTGCCAAAGCAAGACTTGCGATGACCAGTTCAGCTTGTGGGTTGCTGGGGCCGATGACACTTTGTCCTCTGTGTGCCTGCTTTGCTTTATGTTGTGGTTTTGGGGGGGCTGTTTTTGTTTCTAGGTTTGTGCGTACCGGGGTGCTCCGTGTTTGTGTGTCTGTATGTGTATTGCATCCGTTTTTGCTTCCCAAACTTTCAAATATTTGCATGCTTTAGAGCTTTCAAAATAGCACATAATGCATGTGTTTGGTGGAAAATATCTTTTAGACACCTAAATGTATAGATGAGTTAGGGATGAAAAGTAGGAAGGAGAGAAAGAAGTGAGCAGGTGTGGAAATACCATGTGTTTTTCCCATAAGAAGGGTGAAATTTCTTTAAAAAGCAAAAACACATGATTTCTGGGTAATTTGAATAGTTGGAAAAATTATTGTCCTAGAAAGATTCATAACAAACATTTGGAAGTCATGATTGTACAGCCTTAATCACCACACTTGAGCTTCATGATAATATTTCTGTAAGGCTTATCTTAGGCAAAATCTATTTAATATTAATATGATAATCTTTTAATATTAAATTGCTAATTAGGCTAATTCACTAATCCATATTATGTCAAGACAGTCCCTTTTTACTTTCAGTGAACCAATTATAGGAGTTATGTTAGAATTTTTACATAGAATGATTGGTTTCCATTGGTTGTGGGTAAATCAGATTATTGAGATGAAATTTTAGCTATCCATTATAATCAGCTATACCTGTAATATCCGAGAAGGTATAGTTGAGGAATTGTGACAGACTAATGAGAATCCATTCTGGGAGCCTGTGGCAGGCGGATGGCTCAAGGTCAGGAGTTCAAAACCAGCCTGAGCAAGAGCGAGACCCTGCCTCTACTAAAAATAGAAAGAAATTAATTGGACAACTAAAAAAATATATAGAAAAAATTAGCCGAGCATGGTGGCGCATGCCTGTAGTCCCAGCTACTCGGGAGGCTGAGGCAGGAGGATCGCTTAAGCCCAGGAGTTTGAGGTTGCTGTGAGCGAGGCTGACTCCACGGCACTCTAGCCCAGGCGACAGAGTGAGCCTCTGTCTCAAAAAAAAAAAAAAAGAGTCCACGATCTGTCTTCTTTTAAGCTGTATGGTGCAAATTTGGCCTTATAGGGAAGGCAGTAACTGCTGGCACTGGTAATGTAATTATTCTGTGATCGCTTTTTGCTTATTGATATCTTTGATTTCTAATACACTTTCACAATTCCAAGGATAAAAGCTAAAACAGAAGCCCCTCTGTGTAGGTTCCATTCACAGATCTAAACTTAACAGAAGGAGACCTTAGACATTCCTTAAGCACCTAACTTTCCTGCCCGGTCCATTATAAATATATGTTTTTGACTGTAATGATTTAAAGAGCCAGCATCAGCTTGTGAAGAGCACAAAGATAAATGTACATCCAGTTTCTAAGTTCTCCCCAGAAATGATGCTATAGCTTGCTAGACTGTCTCATTTATGTACTTGGCCCCGGTGTGGGAGTGAGCTCGTTCCAGACATATTGTAGATCATGAGAGATGCCCAGTCCCTCTGATATCTTCCCTACTTCTTGGTGAGGGAAACTTGGGTTTCCCAAGTCAGTTTCATGTAAGTCTAGGAGTTGGGGACCATCTTGGGAAATAGCGAGTTTTTATAGACTCTACCTGATTGTGAATCATGTAATCTACTTTACTATTTTTAATAGTGTAGCAGCTAAAAAGACAGACCTGTTTTTTAGGGGTTTTTTTCTTTTGGTTTTTGTTTTGCAGCAACTTTGATGAACTGGATAAAGATAACTTTGGCTCAGGGAGATGTGCGTGCTCATCGCAGCTCTCCCACTTCTTGGCTCTGCAACCGGGAAGCCCTTTGAGCCTCAGTTTCTTCATCTAGCAAGTGGGTGTAATGACAGCTCCTTTTGATGAGGTTGTTTTGAAGATCCAGTGAGGCAGTGTATATAAAGTGCTCAGCGTGTGAAATCTGTTGCCCATGGTGAAGATGAGGAAACTGAGGCTCTGAGAAGCTAGGTTACGTGGCTAGGTCACCCTGCTCCCGTGGTCTGAGTCCCGACTCAGGCCCCTTCTCTCTGCTCAGTGCTGTGCTACGTGCTCCACGAGGAAGAGATGGGCCAGATACAGAGCCTGTCCTCGGGGAGCTTATAGTCTCTGCTCTTCCTGACCCCTGCCGCCCCGCTGCTCCCCCAGGGCCTCCGGATTCCTGATTCCCCACCAGCCCACTGTCCCCTCCTCCCCCGTCCCCTCCCCAGGCCATCCTGCTGCTGCTCCTCAGAAGCCTTCTGTGGATGGGATGCCCTTCCAGACTGCCCTCCACTTTGGCCTCTGTTGTCCCTTCTCGTTTCCTCTCCTGGCTGCATCTCCATCCAAAATGTGGCCAACGATCAGGGGACAAGCCCCCAGGGAGGCCTAAATTGTGACCCTCCAAACTGCTGCGAGAGCTGTTACAAGGTTTCTGTGTGTTAACACTGCCCTGCCCTCCTGCTGCTGTCGCCTCCCTGACCCACGAGGAAGGAAGGGACTGGACCAGGTGAGGCCAGCGCAGGGAGAATTGCTAAAAGCAGGAGAGAGGTGATACTGTGTTTCCCCGAAAATAAGACAGGGTCTTATATTTATTTTTCCTCAAGAAGACACCCTAGGGCTTATTTTCAGGGGATGTGTTATTTTTTTTCAGTACAGTACAACCATCTACATTGATTCAAATAGAGTGAAGTCATCTTCTTCTGGAACATCATCCTCACTCTCCAAACCCCAAACTCCATCCTGAATGTCTTGCGACTCTATTTCCTTTAGAACCATTGGCCCCAGTCTCTCATGTGGAGCACTAGAGCTCTCATGGGGCAGATGAGAAGGGCTGCTCATGTTCTTTCCCGCTCCGTGACGACACGCATGGGTTGTGCAGATGTGCTGCGTAGCCACGCCCGTCACTAGGGCTTATTTTCATAGCCACGCCCATCACTAGGGCTTATATTCGGGGTAGGGCTTCTATTGCGCACATGCTTAGACATCCTGTTAGGGCTTGTTTTATGGGGAGGTCTTATTTTCAGGGAAACACGGTAGCTCATTATCTCCCCCAGAAAGGAGACGGGGAAACAATAAAAACAAGGCCAAAGCACTTTATTTTTCAATCAAGCTAATTTAAATTTTACATAGGTAGTAACTTGACATGGTTCAAAATCAAAAAGTTTAAAAGTATATGCACCCCTAAATCTCCATCCCATCACGTATGCACCCTGCTGCCTACTGCTCACCAATAGGCAGCCGCTATTGCTACTTTGTTGTCTGTTCTTCCAGAGAGTGTTATGTATAGATAAGCAAATATGCATACCCCTTTATCCCCTGAACAGCGTACAATAATATTGCACACGCTATCATGTGCCTTGCTGTTTTTATTTAACACAATTTTTCCCTATGCCTGTATAGTGTCCTCATTCTTTTTTATGGAAGCATGGTATTCCTTTGTATAGCTGTGCCATGATTTGCTAAACCAATCCCTCGTGGCTGTCATTTTGGTTATTCCCTGTCTTTTGTTATTGCAGACAATACTGTGGTGCATAGCTCTGTGTGTATGTCATTTTGCAAGCACATAAGTGTATTTGTAGGATAAATTCAGGAGAATGGCTGTATCACAGGGTGTGTGCATTTGTCATTTTGGTGGATGATCCCAAACTGCCCTCCCAGGTGGGCCACCAAGGTGGGTTTCCCTGCAGTCTGCCGAGCCAGCGTGTTGCCAGACGGGGTGGGGGGCCTTTTTGCTAATAACCTCATAGGTAAAGAAGAATCAATGCCCCAGTGTCGTTTTACTGTGTTGTCTCTTATTATAAGTAAGGCTGAACATCCTTATATTACAAGTGAGGTTGAACCATTTGGTTTTCTTTTTTTTCCTATAAACTGTTTATATCTTTTGTCCATTTTTCCTTTGAGCTATTGGTCTTTTTCTAATATAGAGAGATATTATCCCTTGTTAGCAATATGAGTAGCAAATATATTTTGCCCAACTTGTAGTTTGCCTTTTAACTGTATTTATACTGCTTCTCTGACTTTCATAGAATCAAATGTATCTGTGTTTTCTTTTTTGTGTTCTAGATTGTGAATTATCCTTTTGAAAAATCTATTCATTCAGAGGTTACTTTTTAAAAGTGCTTCTAAGTTTTCAAAATTTAAAAAATTTTTTTGAAACAGTGTCTCACTTTGTTGCCCAGGCTAGAGTGAGTGCCGTGGCATCAGCCTAGCTCACAGCAACCTCAAACTCCTGGGCTCAAGCGATCCTCCTGCCTCAGCCTCCCGAGTAGCTGGGACTACAGGCACAAGCCACCATGCCCAACTAATTTTATCTATATATATTTTTAGTTGTCCAGATAATTTCTTTCTATTTTTAGTAGAGATGGGGTCTTGCTCTTGCTCAGCCTGGTCTCGAACTCCTGAGCTCAAACGATCCTCCCGCGTTGGCCTCCCAGAGTGCTAGGATTACAGGCGTGAGCCACCGTGCCCAACCTAAGTTTTCAAAATTTAATAGTAAATTCTTAAGTCATTTGGAATTTAACCTGGTTGATAATGTGATCTCTGAATCAACGTTTTTTTTTCCCCAGGAGGTCCCAGCTATTTACAAAGTACTGCCATCTGGGGCCCAGTGAAGAGGCTCATAATACCTTATTAGATCCCTGTAATACCACTCTTACAGCAAAATACAGTCAATCGGTATATTAAAATAAGCAGTTGCCAAAAAGCTATTGCCAGACCATGTTAGATTATAAATACTGAATAATTGGCCAGGCACAGTGGCTCATGCCTGTAATCCTAGCATTCTGGGAGGCCGAGGCGGGCAGATAGCTCAAGGT